TTGAGACACGGATCGCAAACAAATTGAAAACACAACTTTGGTGGCTGTGAATAAGTGCATGAAATAATCGCAGAGCTGGTCACCTGATTTGCACACTATTCTTGAACTAATTTAGCAGTTCCTTTTTGTATTTCAACACACAGAGGCCCTGAGACGTTAAAATACATTGTAACTTACCCTCATTTTTCCCCCTAGTTGAATTATATTTCCTCATCATTTCTCCACACTGCTTGCCTTTTTCGGGCTACTCCTCGTCTAAAAAGTGCGCTTTGAAGAGAATCCAACCATTAAACCATAAATCTCAAATCTAATAGCAATTTTTATCACACAAATTCTCTATTAAATATTTTGCCAACACAAATTAATCCCTAGCAACATGGACACGGTCAATAAAAATTGGACCATTACCTTTTTTGAGGCACCAGTTTTGACAGAATTCTGACGTGAAACAGACAAAATATACAGACGTGGAACTTTGTTAGGAGCTGGAGGACTACTTAATGTCTTTTATCTTATCTTGTTTTGAAATTAATTTAGGTAAGCCTGCATGTGTGGGGCCGGGGCCGGGGCCAGACCTGCCCTGGGATCATGCAGCGTCTAAGAGATTCGGCTACTTTTCTTCTACAGGCATGGGAATTTCTCAGACACAAAAAGGTGAAGTGGTTTTTAGTGGTCTGAAAAAACAAAAAACGGACAATCAAAACGCTCTAATCAAAGTCTAATTGATAGAAGATGTGGCCTGGACAGGTGCTGGTGAATAGACCACTTAAGCATAGATTTGCATGGTTGATTACAAACGGTGTAAGTGTCTTGTATTTTCTCTGAACATAAAACAAATAAAACGTTCTTTTTTCATTCAAGTGGGTTTATTGAAAAGTCCAACATGACCGATTGCATCTTTTCTCCAGTGGTACAATAAAGTGTACGTTTCTAAGCTAAGTTGCTTCATTCATTGGCACGTAATGAGATTCCAGCATTGAGGAGCTACATTGTCGAACAGGCTTCAGGAAGTAGTCAGATACACATTCAGATCTTGCATAAGAAAACCTTTAGCATGTTTTACACAGCATGACATTGGGGATGATTGAATGCAGAAATGAGAAGGGGGACAATTGGTACGTTTGGTCTTGAATAAAACGTTCGTTAAACATGTGATCTTTGGTCCAACAGAATAATAATAATAATAATAATAGGAAAGGGCAAGTTATAAGACTCAGTTCTCAGTAGTCTGTGGTGAAAGATAAAGTAAAAAAAAGGTCAAAAAAAGGTTTTAATTAAATTTGTGGTTTTAAGTTATGCGAGTTGTAAGACCATTGCCTCCTTCAAAAACAAGGAAAAAAAATGTCTTATAAATCTGCTATTGAGAGACTGCTTTTCCTGCATGTGCTACAGACCCATTTACAGCCTGTCATCAGAAAGTTGAGTGCACATTGAGACAACAGAAGCAAAATATTTACCATTTCAAAATACCAGGTTGATGCGTTTATGGTTGTTCTAGCCCCAAATACTGAACAAGGACTTTAGTTATAGCCATGGATGTTTTATACCCAGGGACTCTCAGCCTTCTCAGACCGACAAAAGTCCATAGCTTCAATCCATCAAGGGCTATAACCAGCTCCCATATCAACCAGGAAGTTTGGTCCGAAGACACGTCTGCAGTCTTATATCAGTGTGATGTTCCAAAATAAAACCATACCTCCGTTGCCAACATGAGCACGCAGCAGTCTTTGATTACAAACACTGAACGGGTCTTTTGCATTAAGACAGATCTACAGTCATTGAGACCAACAAGTATGAATAATTATTGCTGGCTCGCAGTAAAACCAGCTAAAATGCCTAAATATGAACATACAGTATGAAAACTGGATTGAGATATTTCCATTGACAGAAGATTCATCAGGGAAGTTACGTAGCATAACTTTAATTTTGTTAAAAGCTTGTTAAAAAAGGCCCACCAAGCTTATTCCATACGTTATAAATGTCAAAACCCATATAGATAAATACAATACAGAGATAAATTGGAAGACTAGTTTGTTCCTTATAATTAAATAGGGTCATTTCAGTGAGCAAAACGTCAAGTTAGAACTCAAACGGGGACAATCAAAGAACACAATGCATTAAAAACTTAAAATAAATTATTATACACCAGATTATATGCATACATGAAGAGTAGCTGCATGTAACTACAAACCAGACTGATATTAGAGAGTCATATGTACACGTATTGCCAATTTACTACAGTTGATTAGAGAAGGCTTCAAAATGCGCCGGAGAACTTGAGTGAATGAAGCAATCTAAAACAGAATGATTCATTTATATTGACCTTTTTGCCTCTGGACACATTCATGACATTTTAATTTTTGGCCGTTATCAGCAGCTCACAACTCATTCCGTTCAATAGAAAGCAGGTGCACAATCCTAACGGTTCAATGGTCAGAACTTTAAATCATTTCCTGCATATTTTGTTGAGTGGAAAAAATGTCAGTATTAAATCTTTGGCTCAAACATTAACCAATTATAATTATCATAGTGTTTCACAACAGTGGAGGCGGAATTAAAATAGGAAAAGCATTTGACGAACGAGAACTCAAATGTTTGTCCGATAATGACAATTGAAGAGCTTGTTTATGCCCAGTGGTTTTCACGCAACATTGACAATTCTGGATAATAAAGTTTTAAATCAGCGGGAAAAAAAAGAAAAAAAAGCAAGCTTCAGTTTGTATTAATGCAGATTTATATATTTTTAAACAACTTTGAATCGTGAAAAATTCATGAAATATCTAGTGTCTTTGAGATAGATATTTTCGCCTCACCACCTGTATATTTTTTAAACGTCTGAATGTGAATATTTTAAAAAACACAATATCTAAGCGGTGATAAAAGTTACATGGTTCACCTTTAACATGAGCCATTTATTAATCTGAATAATTATTGAGACTTTGAGAATTTAATCCAATCATTAAATGGTAAGATTGTCCATAAGAAACCTTTATACATCTTTCCCAAATTATATTATTCTTTAAAAATTACCAGAGGCAGAAAAGTATGAAAGTGTTAAGAAAAGTGTATTCATATCACAAAAGATTTAAATTATTTCTTTGGAAGTAAACTTTAAAAAGGCAAACAATAAGGTCCAGTGACTAAACATAAGAGCCAAAATACATTCAGATAAACTTGGCCCAAAATGTACCTTCACTTCAAATATTTCCAGCTTTTAAAAAATGTGTTTGAGAGAGCGACGTTCACACTTTTAAATAAGACAATAGTTTCTCATACACAGAAAAAGGATTTGATCGACCACAAACAAAAAGCAGTAACCGGAAGAAACTCGGTGAATGTCCATAAACGAGCGACAGTGACTCGGATCCATGTCGACAAAGTATTTTTAACACTGCTGCTATAAACACAAGTGTAAACCTACAGTATGTGACCTGTGTATCACTAAAAATCACAAACACGTTTTAACAAGTTCAACATTCTCTCACACACACAACCAGTGAATACTTCAGTAGTTTAGGGCTTTACAACCTATAGCCATCATTACAATGTGAAACAATTGTCATGCAAATAGTTGTAAATGAACCCAAACATCAAATCAAAAAGCAGTTTTGTTTTGCCAAAGTGAATTCACGTTTTGGTAGATTACAAATAAAAACAGATCCCACGATTAGAGGACGTCTCAGTGTGACGAGTGAAACATATTTAAAGTTAGTGCCTTTCTAACAAATGCATAAGCAAAAAAAAAAACGGGAATGGGCGATATCTGTTGATAACTGCTAATATTGGTTAAAAAAAACTAGTATTGAGAAGTATTTTATCCCCATAACAGCCAAAATTGCAATAATATGGCCATGGAACAAGGGGCAAACTTGCACTTTATCAATGCATTTCTACACACACAGGAATTCTTGTATCATTTGCATTCATTTAAATTAGCTTAAACGTATCGGCCCATCCCCATCAAAGTAGTTTGTAGCTTTAAAATGTACCGTGCGGCGAGACCCAGTGTTCCCAGTTCCCATTAAAACGCAGCTTTGATCCAGAAATATTTACGAACAACGAAGGACGCGCGATGAATCTTGTAACAGGCTCCCAGGTTTTTTTTTTTTTTTTTTTTTGCGTAAATCTACGACGTAATTACAATGTAAACAAGAGCGGGACTTTATAATAGAACGCGCTTATTGCACTTGACGTGAGAGGCGGCCATAAATAAGGTGATTCCAGGAGAACCGTGTCTGTACGAGAGCTGAGACAGAGCAGACCGACAGTCGGATCCTGCTGTAGCGCTGCTTCCTGCTGGATACAAAAGTGATTCATTTGGCGAAAAAAAATAAAAAATGGCAGAGTTCATCTGATCCGCAGCAGGGACCAGTTTTACAAACGTACGTCAAATGGAAATCTAACGGACAACGATCCAAAGTGGTAAACAGACGCAGCTGAATAAGTCTTCACATGCTAGTTTGACATTTTTGGCTGAAAGTGGTCAGTTTTTCAGAATATGAAGACTTTGAATAGTGAGTTAGTGAAAATGGGTCAAAAATTGAAATTAAGACTTCTGTTGTAAACTAACGGTACTTTAAGTTGCCTCGTGTATGAACTGTGCAATACAAATACACTTGCCTTGTCTTAACGGTAAACTTTTAGTTAAATATAAATGGATACCGCAGCTTGTAAACCTAAAGACATGTTTTGACACATTTGTTGGATTGAAGTAAAAACCAAAAACGTATTAGTTTGGAAGATAATTTCCATCTAAAATAAAAATAGATTTTTTGTTATCCATCATCGTTTGCACAACAGCCAGTGCATGTAACGTCACTTCACTGGTGCATAGAGTAAATCTCATTTTGTAAAAACATCAAAAATAAAATGGGATGAAAGGAATGACACTTCTCATTCATTAAAATAACCAAACTAAAGTCTAAAAACCTCACTCATAAAAACAATTTGGTGTCCGCACGTCGTTTCGATTTGCCGTCATTCATCCACTGCCCCATTTTTTATTTCTTTCCAAATTTTCCCGCCTTCTTCTTGTGCTCGTACGGCGTGCGCAGGATGCTCGGGGTCTCCTCCATGACGCGGACCAGCAGGTCGTCGATGTAATCCTCCAGCTCCCTTATTTGGGCGTCCTTCCTCTTGACCGCCTCCTTCTGTTTGACGAGCTCCTGCACCACCTCCTCGAAGGTCAGGTTTTTGTAGGCGGCCGCCGTCTCCACCGGCGACACCACCTGCACACGGGAAACGTTACTGTACACATGTAATAAGAAGATGGTTTATGTGAAGGGACAAACGTGAATTTATTGGGGGCTAATTAGCCTGGCCTTAGCCATCCGCCTGGCCTTAGCCATCCGCCTGGCCTTAGCCATCCGCCTGGCCTTAGCCATCCGCCTGGCCTTAGCCATCCGCCTGGCCTTAGCCATCCGCCTGGCCTTAGCCATCCGCCTGGCCTTAGCCATCCGCCTGGCCTTAGCCATCCGCCTGGCCTTAGCCATCCGCCTGGCCTTAGCCATCCGCCTGGCCTTAGCCATCCGCCTGGCCTTAGCCATCCGCACACCCCGCTCAATCATCACTCTCCACGAGCGCGGAAGGAGAGTGTTGTATTTAGTTGTTGGTGACGTCAAGAGTTTGCGTCGAACGGGCAGGTCGTAGTTTGGCAATGGTGAAAAATGCGATAGTAAAGTAATCCAGTCTGGTTCTATCAAGAAATTGAAGCTGGAGCAATAGGAATGTTTAGCAAATGTAATCGCTAGAAAAAATTGTTGCGCTACTCAGATCCAATTCAAACTACAAAAAGAGTTAACCCCTCCCACCTGTAAACAGAGCTCAATGGAGCACCTTTAGACCTTAGTACGAAATGTAATTTGTACTATGGTGTAGAACGACCAGGCTAGGGGCTAATTACTTTTAACGAACCTTGTTTGGGTCACATCTACTCAAGATTGTGCCTATGCCTTAGAATAGTGTTTCAACCTCAAGAGACTGAGGCAGACATAGTTTATTACCAAACAAAAAAAGTTCCACCTTTTCTTGAGCAAGTTCTTGCAAATGTACAGCAAAAGGCAACCCATGCTGAAAATTTAACCAGAAGAATACAATTTAGTAAAAATTGTGATGACAAATGTTCAGTATTTTCAAATGTATAGTCCAACTTCGGTACAGTTCTGTGGATTAATTACACTGATCAAAGACTGTTCACAAAGAAGGAAATGCTGGAGAAAGTGCATGGACAGTCAACACAGCCATGTAAATCCAATCCACTTTATGTAAACACTTCTTTTCCTACTGCCATCAAAGGCAATCCACATTTTCAACAAGGAAGTCATCTGACCAACTTGGCTGATAATTCTGCTCCTATTGCTGCAGGATTTCACCATGATGTCAAACGCAACCGAGTAACAGCCAGGGTTAGCATTAGTACATTTCTCCCCTAATCTCCTGCTAATAAAATCCCAAATCGTAATGCAAGCCCGAGTGAGCGCTCTGCTGCCCGGTCGCAGCGGTGTGGACGGTATGTGCGGATCGTATTGCCCGGCTGTGAGAGGAGCTGTAATCGTTTTTAATGAGGGGCACTTTATCGGCCCGTCCTCCCCCCGTTCAAAATACCACTCTTATCAACTTCCACTCCCATGCCGCGGCCCACCTCCACTGCAGGGCCAAGACAATGCTTTCCTCCGATCGCCCTGGGGCAGAAAAATAGGCTACTACTACTTCCGCCGTTGCTATAATGAGTGGACATTTGTGATTTCATGCCCTCGTCTTCTTTGGACTCGTCTACACCAGGATCCAGTGAGATTAAATGCCCTTGTGTGACGGGCGTTTGAAGAACAGACCCCAGTCCCCAATCGGGAACACACACACACAAAAAAGAGCTGAAGGGAACGTGATCTGCCGCAGATGGCACACACCAGTGCCTATGGACGAGTGATGTCATCTATGGATTGAAACAAAAAGGGCCTGGAAGTCTTTTAATTAGAGAGTTATCAGGGTGACTGGCCCCGGAGTGAACCTATTCTGACCACTGCACTGTAATGCAGACGTCAGGCCTCGCACTGCACACAGAGCGCCTCTAGTGTGACTGAGGGAGACTGGAGGAAGACTGGAGGAAGACTGGAGGAAGACTGGAGGAAGACTGGAGGAAGACTGGAGGAAGACTGGAGGAAGACTGGAGGGAGACTGGAGGGAGACTGGAGGGAGACTGGAGGGAGACTGGAGGAAGACTGGAGGGAGACTGGAGGGAGACTGGAGGGAGACTGGAGGGAGACTGGAGGGAGACTGGAGGGAGACTGGAGGGAGACTGGAGGGAGACTGGAGGGAGACTGGAGGAAGACTGGAGGAAGACTGGAGGAAGACTGGAGGAAGACTGGAGGAAGACTGGAGGAAGACTGGAGGGAGACTGGAGGGAGACTGGAGGGAGACTGGAGGGAGACTGGAGGGAGACTGGAGGAAGACTGGAGGGAGACTGGAGGGAGACTGGAGGGAGACTGGAGGGAGACTGGAGGGAGACTGGAGGGAGACTGGAGGGAGACTGGAGGGAGACTGGAGGGAGACTGGAGGGAGACTGGAGGGAGACTGGAGGGAGACTGGAGGGAGACTGGAGGAAGACTGGAGGAAGACTGGAGGAAGACTGGAGGAAGACTGGAGGAAGACTGGAGGAAGACTGGAGGAAGACTGGAGGAAGACTGGAGGAAGACTGGAGGAAGACTGGAGGAAGACTGGAGGAAGACTGGAGGAAGACTGGAGGAAGACTGGAGGAGACTGGGAGGGAGGGAGACTGGAGGGAGACTGGAGGGAGACTGGAGGGAGACTGGAGGGAGACTGGAGGGAGACTGGAGGGAGACTGGAGGGAGACTGGAGGGAGACTGGAGGGAGACTGGAGGGAGACTGGAGGGAGACTGGAGGAAGACTGGAGGAAGACTGGAGGAAGACTGGAGGAAGACTGGAGGAAGACTGGAGGCTCTAGATCTGCGATGTCTGGATTACACATGTAGTCGAGTATCTATCAGAACGACAACTCTGTGCTGCTGCGATTCAAAATAAGGTGAATTTAAGAGCGAAGGCCACAGCATCGGAGTAGAAGTAATGCCCAATTATTTGAGGTCACTAAACATTGTACATAATAATTCATGCTCTTTGTTTGGTGTTAAATCATACGTCAACTAGGCAAAATGTCTTATTTCAACAAACTTATCCGACAAATGTATGACTGTACTTCTACTTTCATTGTATCTATCTGGGCGGCACGGTGGCTGAGTGGATAGCACTCTCGCTTCTCAGCAAGAAGGTCCTGGGTTAGAAGCCCGGTCAGAACAGGGTCTTTCTGAGTGGAGTTTGCATGTTCTCCCCGTGTCTGCGTAGGTTTCCTCCGGGTGCTCCGGCATGTGCCTCCTGTACTGGCGAGTCCGCTCCCATCTCTGTGTGGAGTAAGTGGACAAATGCCCAAAAAATAAAAATTGTAAACTGCTTTGTGACTCTGGTCTGAAAGGCGGTATATATAAATAAAGATTACTTACTTAGCAACTGAAAGTGAAACTGAAAATGTGAGCTGCACAGGAATCAATCATTGCATCAGAACGCTTATTAATGTGCTGTGAATATTTACATTTGTTTGTAATTTATCTTGTTTTGTAAAGCACTTTGAGAGGCCTATTGAGTGAATGGAGGTATCAAAATAATCCTTGCCGATGCAGGAGGGTCTGTTAGAGCCTTGTGTTGGTCGAACTAAAAGGACAGTGGTGATGATCCAGGACACGACACTGGGAATTGGTCATCTGCCCCTTATATGGACCAATGTGTTTTCTGCTTTCTCATTATTTCAACAGTTGTGTAAAGTACTCTGAGGTAACTACTGCTAGGATTTAGGGCTATACAAGAATTAAATGAATTGAATGGTAACTGAAACAAGCCTTGCCCTCTCTGAATACTGCTACATGGTTCAATATAATGTACCATATGAACCAGCCCAGACTCTGAGGACCACAGGGACTGGACTCCTGTCAGTGCCCAGAGTCAGAACTAAACATGGGGAGGCTGCTTTTCAGATTCATGCTGCTAAAATCTGGAATAATCTCCCTGGAGATGTGAGACAGGCCTCCTCTCTGACAATGTTTAAAACCAGGTTAAAAACGGTGCTGTTTAGCTATGGATACAACTGAAGGATTTTATATATTTTTATCTTCCTTTTTAAATGTTGTGTGATTATTTATGATTTTAATGCTTTCTTGTTTTGTTCAGCACTTTGAGTTGCCTTGTGTATGAATTGCGCTATACAAATAAACTTGCCTTGCCTAATGTACAACATCTACACCTCTCTGATATTACAAAAAACAAATCCAACTCAGAAAATCTTATTTGTTGCTGCTCATGTCTCTATGAATGTTCAGTTATAAAAGCAGTATGCAGAATCCATTAGTGATGAATCCCCTACTTAACGCGAGTCTCACACAGTCACAGGATAGTGAGGCTTCAGTGGCTGCGACTTTGGCCTGGAGACCGGACCAGCGTCAGTCAGTGGTGAGCAGCAGAGATAAGGCTGCGCACACTTGGCATTCGTCACTCGTGTCATTACAGTTTCTAATGAGGCCTTGAAATCTCACACTCGGCTTCCAATAAGTCTTCTCGCTCTTATTTGGGCCTTTTTCTGAGGCTGGAATCACTGGCTCGCTCACGGTTAAAAACACTTAGTTGAGGAAAGGAAATCTCCACTGATTGATAAATGTAGTGGGAACCAGAGCTTTTGATGGAACCACTTCGAAAACGTCCTTATAGAAAAAAATAATCAGAATATTTACAGACAAAGAAGATGTGGAACTTTGTGACTAGTTTCTCATTCTGCATGAAACAAACTAGCTCTAAATTAAAGACGAGAAGTTGACTTTTGACCGTTTCCAGGAAATATTTCTCAGCTGCAACTTTAAAGGTATAGGCTCTTTGGAATAATGGTGTAATAGTAAGTCACGGGTGTCGTCGAGTCTCACTACAGTGCAGACAAAAGCATGTTTTGTCTTTTCCCTGTGTGCCGTTAATTGGAGACTTAAAATCAGGGGCCACGTGAGCAGTTGGCGCCAGCGACAAAGAAAAGGTGCAGAAAACCTTCATTATCGCCGCTCGTGGTTTCATTTAGCCATCGACTTGTACACGCCAAATCTGATGAGTCAAAGCTGCCAGAATAGGAGTGGGAAGAATGTATGTTGGAACGTATTTCTTCAGCGTATCAACATCAGGGTTTGCTCCAGAGGATATCACCTTTCAAGTCCCACATCAAAAAGAGACTAACATTATTTTAATTGGGGAACAATGGGTTGGTCTTAAAATGATTCTTTTTACAATTAAGCTATAATCTGCAAAAAACGTCTTGACCTTAGTCTTTTACCGTTTTTAGAGCAATCTGTCATAGAATGTGATAACATGCAATTAAATACAAAAAGACTCTGCCCGGATTCGAACCCGAGCGCGTAGTTTTAACCATGAGACCACCGATTCGCGCGGTAAGAACCTCTCTGAAGAACGGACTCAAACCAGCAAATTTTGCATCACACGTAAACTTTTATCTGCCGTCTCAATTGTTCAAAGGCGTCCCGATATAAATCCTCGTTTTAGTCTTTGTTTTGTCATTAATTATTTGAGAGTCATAACAACCCGAGTTCTGGCAACCCGATCACGGACTTACATGACACTTCCTGATTGGCGAAACGGCGGAGGGTAGGACATCAAAATCAAAACAATAACAACTTTTACAGGTCGTAAAACTCATTTTGATAATCAAATATCTCGGCTGAACTACTGTTATCATTTAAAAAATTATTCGAAAAGAGCATGATTTAATAACACCTTTTGAAATATGGGGGCCATTTAATGATGACTTGAGTCGATCAATTACTAAAAGTTGTCATTTTAAACTGTGTTTTTACCCCATTACAAAGCACCCCGTCCTTGAAGACTCAACAAAGCTCTATTATGAGACAGACAGAGACAGAACCAAAGCCTTTTAATTAGTTGCGTCTGACTTTTTCAATGTCACAGCAGCCTCTTGTGACAAATAAACCGCTGCAATTAAAAACATGTCGCTCTTAAAAGTAACGATGCAAGAGTGGAGGAGGTCAATCTCAATCATTGTCGACTAAACAAGAACATGTAACGATGGGTTTTAATGATGCAGGTCACACTGGTAAACTCACCTTCTTCTTGTCTTTGAGGCCTTCGTTTCCGCTGAATTTTCGGTCACTGCAACATCACAAAAACATGAAATTTAAATCATTTGTGAGCCCTGCTTTATACGGTTCGTGCAGAGTTTATGTGAAGATCAATGTCATTAGTTTGCAAGTGAAGGATGCCATTTCAAACCTATGTCTTACTGACTCCACAGGACAAACAAACAAACAACATGCCTTGTGTCATAACATAAGCAAAAAAGTAATATGAAGGAGTTGTTAGAGTGATACCCCTGACAATGGTTAATGAGACAGGTCTTCTTCAGTGTTCAGATAGAGACCAATAAATTATCAGAAATCCATAGACTGTAGAAAGAGTCAACAAACAGTGCTGACATTGCTAATGTTTCTATTTTGTTTTTGATTTTAACCATGTTTGTATAGTGTCCCTGGGTGTTTTGAAAGGCGCTTTAAAATAAAATGTATCGTAATTATTATCATTACACCTGCAGTAAGCCTTAGTGAGGAAGGAGCAGATTAAAGCCAACTCAAACTGACTCTTTGAGCGGGAATCTGGAACCAATCCTATGCAAATGTGTGAGCAACAATGACCAAGCACCCAAGGGCCAATCAGAAATAGAACCTGTCTGTCCCTGCTTTATACACGCTAAAGCCAAATTTGAGGATAGAGGGCACCAGATTGTAAATCCAGATATGTCTCCTAACCACTGCCAAAAGACTATCAATTCAGAGCACAAAACCAGATATTTTAAGCCCAAAATGACGAGTGTGACACAAACACAAACTCAAATAGGAGTCAACTTTGTAGGCTTCATTAAGCTAGCCTTTTAGCATTGTCCATCATCATACAGTCTATAGTCTTTGCAGCTGTGAAACAGACGTTAAGATGGATTTTGAAAGGATTCTAAAGCAGCATGTGTTTAACTATAGATAAATACAAAGGTACGTGTGTTGATGCTAAATGTTTTCTACCATTTTGTGAATTTTTCCGAGTATACAGGCAGGTTGGTGTGATTCTGGGGATGGATCTTGATATGGCAGCACCTTCACACTCTTCCTGCCTTGTAAATGACCAAGAGCGGCTGCAGTGAGATGATGGACTGAAGCGCTCACAGATAAGTGCTTAATTGTGTGTTCTATCGCTGTGTGGATCTCATTACTGGAGCTAAAAGGGCCTCCTTATCGAGTCGGGACCCTCTAAAGACCCTCTAATGACACCTCTGTGCTGATAAACCAGAACGTAGCCACACCAACTCTTCCAGCAACACAGGAAATACAGGACACAAGCTCAGCACAACTGTTTTAACAATCACACTTGACAACTCAGGGCCACGGAAGCGGATATCAATCAGCGAGGTGTTTGAAACTTCACCAGTGGGCTGTCTGAGCACACCCCTGAGCCAGGGTCGCCTCACAGGGGCCAACAGCCACTCCGCGGGCAGTTGAGGTATAAAAGAAATAAACTATGAAAGTGGTGATTCAGTTGTAAAAATAAAAATGGTCCTCCTTTTTTACCTTTCTGTCTGGAAAAGCTGATCTAAAACATTAATGGGAAAACTAGTAAGTAAGTAAGTAAGTCTTTATTTATATACCGCCTTTTCACTGCAGATCTGAGTCTCAAAGCGGTTTACAATTGTTATTTTTTGGGCATTTGTCTCTCACTCCACACAGAGATGGGAGCGGGGCCAGTACAGGAGGCACATGCCAGAACTATTGGACATATTTTTAGTGGTAGGGGAAACCGGAGTACCCGGAGGAAACCTACGCAGACACGGGGAGAACATGCAAACTCCACTCAGAAAGGCCCTGGTCCGACCGGGATTCGAACCCAGGACCTTCTTGCTGAGAGGCGAGAGTGCTATCCACTCAGCCACCGTGCCGCCCGAGTCATAAATCTACTACTCTATAGTTTGGTTCTAAGTAAAATGCTTTGTGTTAGTTTATCCATCCATCCATCCATCCATTTTCTACCCTTTAATCCATTTCTGGGTCAGGGGGGTGGCAATCAGAGATGCCACCCAAGTCTCATAGCACCAGCCCCTCACTGACCCTCTGCAGGTGGTGAGTCCACAGGAGGACGGCTGCTCTCTGAGTGTGAGCATAATCTTGATCTTTCAGTGGGGGCTTTGGGCAAAGTGGGGTTAAGTGTCTTGCCCAAGGACACAACGACAGCAGTCATCAGTGGGAGTCGGTGGAGAAGGTGTAGAGGTGGGAATTGAACCCACGACCTTCAGGCCTGAAGGCCAATGCTCTACCAACTGAGCTACTGTCGCCCCTGTGTTAGTTTATGATTTTAAGAAATATACCATTAAAATAACCATCTCGTTTGATTTTCTGTATGAAGACAATTGTAAGCTTTCATTTCAAAGCCAACAGACCTGGGTTTGAAGTTGGAGGTGAAAGGGTTGGTGCCACCGGTGAAGGGGTTGGGGGTGTGCAGGTCTCCAGTGCTGCCGCCTTTGCCCCCGTTACTCTTCTTCCCGTCCTTCTTCCCGGTCACCCTCTCCAGCAGACTCACTTTTTCCTTCTTGTCTTTGGGCCGGTCCCACATCTGCTGCCCCCCCGCCTCGCTGTCAAACGGGTTGCCTTTGCGCGGGAGCGTGGCGTACTTCTGCGGCAGCCCGTCCGTGACGTCAGTGAAGGGGTCAGCGTGGTCGTCTGTGGAACGTCTGTGACCGGAGCTGCCTCCTGAAGAACAAACGAGATACATCGTCATGTCAACTGCAGGGAATGACTCATGAAAACTGGGCCCGTTTCTCAAACTGCAGTGAGGCTGTATGGACACCTCTCCAGTTGAATTGTCCATTTTAGACCTTATCTGGTTCATGCCAATAGTACTCTGGTGTAGTTTTATGAGCAGCATTTTGAACATTTTCGATGAGATTCACAAGATTCATTGTTAAAACAAAACGCCTTCAGTCTTTGTTTTGCTCCCGGGCTGAAAGTAACAATTTTATCCAATTATTTTGTGAACTCTGGTAAAGCTGTTTGACTTTTGGGAATTATTGTGTTGTGCATTGTTTTTATTTAGTTATATTGTAACCTGCTGCTCTGTGAACTGTGAAGCCTGATCAATAAAGTTTTTTTTTCCTCAAATCTCAAATACAATCTGTGACAAAAGCCCTTTACAGGTGCTTTTGAAATTATAAAACCCGCTTTATTTACAGTATCATAATGGTGAAAAGAAACTGTTTTCCAGTCTGCATTTGATTGTAGGGAACACTGGTATTTTATAAAGCAAGTAATGAAAAAAATGTAACCATGACATACAGGGGTTGAAAATGATAAACTGTCAATCGTGTCCAAGCGTCACTCACCTCTGCTCTCTTCTATGGAGTTCATAGAGTTCAGTTTGGGTCTGAAGTTGGTCCCCATCAGATCTGACATGGACTGAGCCGCGGACAGTCTGTGAGCTCCAGACAAGAGGGGCCTCTTCACTTTGGCTTCAGATCCTGCTGTTGCTGCTGTTGCTTCAGGCACTTCGGAGGTCCCCTGCTGAGCGCCCTGCTCCGAGTCGGCCAGGGCAGAGCGAGGCAATATGGCGGAGGATGTGTCGGAGAAGCCTGCATCGTGTTTCCGACCTCTGATCTTGTGTTTGAGCTTGAAGAAAGGAGAGCGCGGCTTGTCCTTCATGGACAGGTCGAACATGCTGGCCGTCATGTTGTTCCGCACAAACTGGATGAGGACCTGGATGCGGCCGCGCTCCTTACTCTTGGTGCCCGGTTTGGACTGCAGTGGATACCAGCTACAAGGAAAGCACACAACATAAGCAATGATCTTACAGAATGTAGTGCTCTAGTTCAGTCCATAATCTAGTCTAAACGTACTGTGCACTTTCATACTTCTGTTTTCTTTGTAACAATTATAATGAATATTGTATTAAAATAGTCAACTAGCACAAGTATGTCAAAACTAAGGCCTGTAGGCTAATTGCAACTTGTTTCATTATACGTGGCCGTGTTAACAAAAAGTAGTCTTTGACATCATAAACACAATGTCCTAAACACACAGTGTCCTGAACGCCCAGTGTCATTCAGCCAACTTCAGCTTTGCCAACATAGGCTCGTTATACCTCGTTGTGACGCTCAAGATGATTGACTGACTAAAGCGTCAAACAAATCAAATAGAAATATCAGTAACGTAGCTGATCAGTAAGTCTTTGAATCCCACACAAACATGCAACAATATAGAAATGTTGGTGGTTTCAAAAATGTTGAAGCTCAGAACAGCCCAAACCCAGTCCATCCATGGAAATGTTTAGTGACCATAAGTAGTCCTCTTACCAAAACGTTTGGACACCCCTGCACTAGTAATAGAAGGCACTGTATTGATTATTTGTGCTAATCGCAGATTGATTCTATGATATCCTGATTGAGAAATTTTTACGTATTTAGTATAATGTGTTTTTACTGGCTGAAATTAACTCAAGACGCTAAGAGTTACAAGCCATAGCTGCAGGATTAATGTCTTGACCCAAACACAAATTGACCCATTTTGTAATAAATCTGATTTTTATTCCCTCTTCAAATCAGCCATTTTCTCTCCAGTTACTTGTATTTGTTCCATTGGCAAATAAAAGCCCAGAGTAGCAGCCTTAATCAACACATTTTCTCTTCCATCATCTTTGTCCCACACCGCTGGTCTGTGGAGGCTTATGTTCAGCCACGACAGGGTCAATTATCTAAAACTAACATAATTCATGAAAAGCCCAGTCAAATCCACTAAAAAGACCATCAAACAATACGACAAATGGAGAAAATAACCCAAATTCTCTCTAATGTGTTCTGCCTCCTTCTTTGTGGGCAACACTGAAAGGCCTAATTTGAGCAGCCTAATCCACAAATGCAGCAGCTTAAATCATTTGACTTTTAACTAAAGTGAGAATGCCATTTATTATTCAGCGGATAAACATTAGTCTTTGCAAAAACTGAACATAGGAAATAGCCTCCTGCTGAATAATATAGACCATTTCAGAGCGTGTTTGGAACCTATTTGTTTAACCTCTCTGCTTTTTCAACTGAGAGTAATGGGATTTGTGCCTTGACTGTGAGCAAAATAAAGTGGCATTTGCACAAATCTGGCCTTTGTTCAGAAACGCAACGACAAGCAATTGGGAAATTGCAAAGCCCCGGCGCGGGACACACCAACAGTTCATACATGCTAATGAGACAGTCCTCCAACCAGGGAGGTGTCCACAAGAAACTGGACTGAAATTAGTTCAAGCCATCCTTCTTTTCATGGTGTTTGCCGTTTACAGTTGTACAGTCAAGTTGTATTAAGTGAAACATAAAGCGCCTACCCATTGATGGGGATTCAACGGGTGAGCGTTGTTTCCCCCGTTTTAAGTGACTGTTACATGAAGTCGATTGTCAAGCGATTCTAAACTACTAGGGTCAAAATATTCATATTTCAGTCAATTATTTTGAATATCAGTCAAATTATTTATGGAATTGTTATAGAGTGTATTCAATGAAAGTCATGTGGGGTCATCTCGTGTCTAATTCTGCCAGAACTGTGCAATATTAATGAGGTCTTGTGATTAAAAAGGACAATTACACATATAATACAACCCACACTTTATTAACTAAAATGTTCTTCATTTGCCATCTTTTTGCCTATGTTAAATAAAATTGGCTTCTTTCCTCTGGGACATCCTGAAAAGAGATTCTGAAATCCCAGCAGAAATATGCTGCTTAAATAAAAGGTCATTTTAAATATTGTATAATCCCTAGAAACCAGGGTTATTCAAATAAAAACACTAAAAAGGAACACTTTCACTAAATGGGACAGAGTTAATAATAAGCCATAATAGACAACTTTTAAAATCTAAATAAATCTTAAATATTAATACTAGGCAAAAGCATACGCTCCAGTTTCAAACTCTTGCATGTGTGCAGTGCTCGTGACTGGCCGCTCTGCTGCTGTGGACTGCGGACCACTCCTCTGCTCACATGTCTGAGCTCAAGGCCGCTCCAAACCTCCATTAAACCTCCCTTCGCGCCGGGACCGCTGGGAACCTCCTCATAATCAACAAACACAGGTGCGCGATAATTACCAGGCTGCCTACTCGGATATCAGGCCTCCTCCTCAATAAGTCTCCTCAATATCGCTGCATTGGGCCACGGTGACCTGCTAATATGGAGTGTAGATACAGTATCATGGGTCTGGCTGCATTGTCAGCGCGGGTTTAACCAATGAGCTCAGAGTCAGAGGAATTACAGAGGCTAGAGGCGCTGAGAAACTGCACAGCCCCAAGGTGCATCTGCAAATACATGCAATCTGCGCTGATTAGGACATATTGTCACTGTCCTGGATGGAGGCCCTGGGGAGGGATGGTGGAAAACTGGACGGCCTAATCAACCCCAGATACTCGATGGTGGTCAGTCCCAGTGAAGAGCAATGTTGAGTCAGTCCTTGACCCCATTTAGACCTGGGTGTAGCCAAGACCTCATCACTGCTTGGATCCCGGTCTGTATCTAGGTAAACTGTCAGAGTATGGATGATCCTTATGACAGCAAAAATCTTTTGAACGCTATAGCTAAATGTTATATAGGCTAGATGAGATTATTTCTTATTTCTGCTCTTTTTCATTTGTGTGATAGGACTACAATAACTTGAAATGTAATATCTGATGTATGGGCATGTCCACAATTGAAATAAATACACACATTATATTAGAAGTGTAATCCAGTGACTGTTTTATAAATTATTCCTCACAAAAGGCCTCATCATGGTCTTCAAATTAAAATGTAAAATTATATTCATGACACCCACTGCTGAATTAACTAAATGAATATTTGGAAATAACAAAACATGCTTTTTTGACAGAATTTCACTTCAATTCATTACCAATTTAACGTAAAAATACTACAGTTTAAAACTTGAATCATGCAATAGGATTCATACCACGTTCATATCAAGTCCACTCGGTCACAATATATCTAGATACTAAACTAAGATTGTGATTTGCAAAAGACGCTAGATTGAATATTGTTATTTATTTATCACAATAATTTACATTGTGAGGTCAAAATCCATGTTTTTAAAGGCCCCGTATTATCTGGCACATCACACTCTAAGCTTTTACGATTATCAATTTTTGTTTGTTTTTTTAATATGATCATTATTATTACTATTACATGATCAATCTTTCGCCATTACAATTCATAGACAAGAAAAGGCATGTCTAATATTATGAGCACAACTATGTTCCTGTTTGACTGTTGACGACAAAGAAAAAGCTGTACAGTAACTATTTGTCTCATATTCTTTGCTTTATGCTTGAAAACAGTGTGGGGCGGGGCGCACAGGCACAAAAGGTGAAGGGACACAAATGACAAATGCTTTGACAACCATTGACTCAAGCGTTCCCGTTTCCCTAACCGAAACAACAGTAATCGATTTTCTTTTACATAACTCTGTTGGGATGGTCAGCTTAAGGTGTGGCAACCCAGTCATTTTGTTTCGTCTTATTTGTAAGACTTTGACTATGACAAAAATGCAAATAAGGGTGCCTTGCCCTAGAAAAAGCCAATTCAAAACAGTTTCCTCGTGTTCTTAGCCATATCACATTGTTAAGCAGCAACACATCTTCCTGAAACTAATCTTTGTTTTTCAGTTATGTGGAATTTTATCGCAGTCAAACTACCGTGAAAGGATTTATCACTACTCCTTATCTATACATTATTTTCACTTCATGGGTCACAATGTTAAACAAAGAGACAGGTCAGATTATAAAAGGCATAGAGACTAAATACATGTATTCCAAGACTTTAAAACTAGCCGTTTCTGCAGCGATGACTAACCAGGCATGTTCAGCAAGCTCCACAAGTTTTAATTGGGCACAACAGCAGCAGTCACCATGTCAGTAAGCGCTCTAAAAATAATCTCTCAACAATGCTTGCCATTTTATAGCTAAGTCCAAAACAATAGCGGGTCAACAAGATGGAAAATATCTTGTTTGCTAACAGGACATAAGCGGTGACAATTTGTACACTTGCTAAACATATAACTTAACCAAATGTGTCTGCTGGATCAGTTTGATCCTCCGTAATGCCACATGAAAAGTCAGCTTCAAACAAAATAGTATTCAAGTTGTCTGGCACGTTTGAACGAGCAGTGAACTAATTAGGATTGAAATACACCCATCGTCACCCTGCCAAAATGGTTTAAATACGTGGGGCAAATATAGAAAAGTGATCTTCCCACGTCATCGCCTGCTGATGACTGGAATACTATGTCTGCTCAAGTTTGACACTTCCTCTTGTCTGTCCTTGACTACAACCTAGGATTGTAAGGCTATATCCACACGAAGACAAAACGCTTATAATTTCAGAAACTTTTTCTGTAAACACGGAGTTAGCTCAGTAAATGTGTGCGTCCATATGAATGTAGTCAATACGCCTGAAAACGCTGTGAAACTATGCCAGACCTGTTGGTGGCGCTGTGACGCAATGACGGGATCAAGCCCAAACTTCCGTGACGGGAACTGGGCATGCGCAGAATTTTGTAAACAGACAACATGGCGAGTGGGCGAGCTGGTACTACATTAGTATGGACGGACGATGAGGTTGAACTGTTGCTTCGGGTCAAACTGGATTACAAAACCAACAAGCTACATTGTTGTCGTCATTATTTTCTGAGTGCGGCGCATGCGTGCTTTAACAAGAGGCGGGGCGATGACGCAAGCGTCTCAGATACATTGCGGAGAGGCAGTAACCACGGAGCGGCATATACAGAGTTTTGAAATCTTTCCACTCTGGGACCTACTTTCAAAAATGTTCGTTTACACCCCCCAAAACGCCGGCCTCGTATGGACGATACACTGGATTGATAAAGTATTTTTGCGTTTAGGCCTGAGCTTGACTTCGTGTGGACAGGGCCTTAAAGGACATTGGGAGAGATGGCATTGGTTGAAATAAGAAACCTTGATTATTTTTGTGAGTAAAAGTTTTTTTTTAACAGATCTGAGCTTGGACCTGTTCATTCACCTGACACCATGGATAACTAACCAGTGATTAAATCTTCACTAAAGACATGTACAATAGGTCTGGCATGCGCCTCCTGTACTGGCGACCCCGCTCTGTGTGGAGTGAGAGACAAATGCCCACAATTGTAAACTGAGTGGAGTTTGCATGTTCTCCCCGTGTCTGCGTAGGTTTCCTCCGGGTGCACCGGTTTCCCCTACCACTAAAAATATGTACAATAGGTCTGGCATGCGCCTCCTGTTCGGCGACCCCGCTCCCATCTCTGTGTGGAGTGAGAGACAAATGCCCAAGAATAATAACAATTGTAAACCGCCTTGTGACTCTGGTCTGTGAAAGGCGGTATATGAATACAGATTACTTACTTACTTCTCCCATTGTCACTGTATGCAGCATAAAACCTCTAGTCTAGAGCTCAACACTATCACTAAAGCCAAAACCATAGTTAGTCATTGAGGGGAGGGTTTATAAACAAATCCATCCATCCATTCATCCTGAACTTCAAGGTTGAAGACAAATCAAGTTGCTCAGAGTTACAGTCATATGAGCTCCATGGCAACACAATTTACATTTCCTTTTTCGTGAAAGCAAGTATTGTAAACTAATATGGGGCACCATTTTAGAAAATAAGTGAACAATTATTAATATAAAAGGTATGGGATGCAATACAACTCTTTGGCTTGAAAGAAGAGTTGCTGGAGCTGCTGTAATCCACCCTGATTCACCTTTGTGTGACAAACTCCTTGTTATATGTGCTCAGGGCATAACATTAAGACAAGCCAACTCTGTATACAAATGATATGATATAAAGTATTAGCTAGAGATTCATTGAACGTACTTGTTGAAAATGAGATTGACAGATTGACCAATACAAGCCTAAAACAAAATTACCTGGTGGTACTTACTCAATTTTGTTCCGCTGCCTGTTTTCAAAGTGTACATTGAGATTGATTGTAGTTTGCCCCAGGAACTTGTCCATCCCGACCAGAGAGCGGTGCATCACTGTGAGGACGAGTTCGTACACCTCTGGGTTCCCAGTCACTAAAAGTCCAGGCAACTCAAACGTGGCCTCTTCTCTCCAGACCGGGTCCAGCGTCTTCTCCGCCACCGATGTAGAGTACTTCTCTTTGCCCACTTGGATGATTGTGTAGGAATCATTTGTCCCATTTTTGCCCTTTGCAGACAAACCAGCTGCTTGCAGGACAGTGGCTTGGACATGGGTTGGAAACCACTTTTGAGACTGCTCACCCAGTGACATTGTGTTTAAATATTGAAAAAGGCATGCATCTATATCTAATGTGCAAAGTGCAGCAAAAAATTACTTCTTGTGGCTAATTGTTGGCCATGTCAGACATGTAATTATATTCCTGCAATGAAAGGCGTCGTTCTGAGTGAGCCTCTCTGCACAGATGTCCAAGCCACCTGTGAGTCATCTGAAAAAAGGAAGAAACAGATTCTGTAAATTTCCCAGAACACACATGAGTCAGAATATCCAAACATCTAATTATAGTGTTACTATACTTAAATACATACAGCTACAGACCACCTGCAAGACCTTGTAATTTAAGTCACTGAATATTCTAATCAAACACGTCCCTGCAGACTGTAGTCAAGGAGGCAATATTATGTGGCTTAACAGCGCATCACCTATCATAGAGTCCATTCCTTGCTAATGATTAGATAGATAATTTGCAAAATTGGTTAAAAGACAAGGAAAGAAAGCTTATTTTGAAATGAAAACACAGGTTCAAATCAAACAACTTGCAATAGGTGGGATGGGACACAAAACTACACTAAGATCACAAAACATGTACCAAACAAATACATATATAAACTACTGGGATTTGTCAATGTTTAAAACAAAAAAACTGAATGGATCCGTCTCTAACATCATACAGACACGTTTAAATCACAACCTGTTCAGTCAGAGGAGGAGGCACTGGGAATAGCCAACATTTCCAAAGCTACTCTATGAACCTGAACTAACACCAAACAGATGCCATTCTAAATCACACATATACAATAACAAGTAGAACATAGAGCTGTGTCTGTAATAGCAGGATAACGACATATTTACAATCTATGGTAATGACAGCTACATGGGGCTAGCGGCGGAGCTAACAGGGTGACAGCATGGGCAGACCCAGCGTCTTACCTCGCTGTCATTTTCATCGCTTTGAGGCAGACATTCAGTGCAAAGGAGTCGGTCTATATAGAAGCCCTCATTCTGTGATTTAGGAGGCAAAAAGCGCCTCAAAAAGACTTATTTTTAGCGGATAACCCTGTCCATTGCGCTCCACTGAGAGACTCCTCCTGCTGCTGCTGCTGCCGCTGCTGCTGCTGTCAGGGCGAGAATACTTCCGGCTCACGTCACTTCCGCATTAGCGTCAGAGTCAAGTGCAGGTAAAAATATATTGGCAAAACACTATATTCATAAATCAAATTTTGTCATATCTACTCCTGCTTTTAGGGGTCTTGTTAATGACTTTAATCTATATTGCAAATCCTTAAAAGTTATAGAGCTTCTAAATCAAATGAAACATGAGGAAAAATGTATATATTTTTTATTTTTTTATTATTTATTTTATTACTATTATATTCAATTTGGTGTAGAATCATAAAGCATTATTTTTGATTTATCTTTTTTTGGTTGTTACTTCTATTTAAATGTATTTTATTTTTCTACTCAACCGAATATGCCTTGACAAGATGTGAACTGCGTTGTGCCTTAATGTTTGTAAATGTTCAATAAAGTTGAATTAAAAAATATATATATATAAAAAGTGCAGGTAAAAATATTTGATTGATGTATATATTTATGTTCTGCTGTTGATCCAAGACGAAATATTTAACAACAAGGGTAGAATACAACAACTAAATAGATGACGTGTTGTAAAAAAAAAAAAAAAAGAAACATCATGCTTGTAAGCTTTCCCTTTCTCTCATGGAAATCTAAATGTGTACAATTCTGTTTACATCATCCTGGAAACTGTTGGATACATGGGAAAAAGTACTAAACAGTGATCACAGTTGCATAATATCTACTCTCAGCTAAAAACAGAAATGAACCTGAAGTAATGTTTATAATGTATGTGGTCACATTGTCCAATCAGTATTTTTGTAAATTATTGTAGAATATTCTTGTTAAAATGCCTTGTGTTAATTTGCATAAAATGACGCAAATAAGATATAGGGATTTTTTTTTTGGTTACGCATCATTCAATTAAAATGACTCAAAATTGGCATTCTATATTAGAACATTAGAATATTGTCATTTTTAGCTTGAAAAGTAAAAAAAAAAAAAACATGCCATCCTCTGCTTGCTCCAATTAAATACTATTCTGCAGTTTTAAACAATAGAGCTGTGAGTATTTTTTATCATTCCCATCAATTTAAAAAGATATTATATAGTGTAAAATAATGTAAGCTACCAATTGGAATAAAAAAGCGTGTAACAACTTATTCAAGGAAGCCTGCGTTTGCATGAAATGAGATGTACAAAAATGGTAGTGTACGGCCTGAATGCAAACATGCGTAACACGAGTAAATCATTTCTCCAGAGATTTGTATGAAGATATGAGCGATCTAAAATAGCAGAGACTTGAATTGCAGCTGAAACCGTGCCAAGCTCTTGCAGCGGGATTGATATAATGGCTACATGAAATTTGTGAAGGTTATGGCTGTGATACAGATGGTTCGAGTGTGTGCGTGTGGAGTGGGGTGTGCTCTGGGGTGCACTTTCTGTCAAAGAGCTAAATCATCCAAACATGGGAAGTGCTTTTGTCTCATGAGTGGGACATGTAGCCACAGATAAGGGTCTCTCTTGAATGAACACAGACATGCATGTCACCCTCTTGACAAGTGCATCTTAACCAAACACACCTGCGAATGTTGGCTTTATCATCCCGTCACAAGCAGCTCCGTATGTACACAGCAGCGGCCCGTCCGTCAAACAGATTATTGCCCGTATCTAAAGTACATCTTTGAATGAAATGCTCAGGCTTAGTGAAATATTAGGGCACAAAAATGTAAGTCATTGCCCCCAAAAGTACACAAGAATTAGGCTTTGGGTTTCTCTGCAGACAAAGGGCCTTTCAGATTACATTGACGAGAAAGAAATTATGATTGTGTCATAAATTGCCACTACAAAATCAAATTAGAATCAGAGTAGAAATTAGTCACTTATGTTTAAGCTGTATACGTCAGATAGACTTTTAATTATATCTGCTTGTGCATGTCTCATCAACTTCATAATTCAGAATGTTTAACTGCAATAAAACTATGGAGATCTTTATGGTACAGCAAATAGTCAGAGGTTAGAATTAATAAGCCTGAAATTGTGGTGCATTTCATAAAATATGTGGTTTGAGACTTTCTCAAAATGTGAGGAAGGGTCACCATTTAAGCATGATATTTTCACTTCACTCTCTGTAGTTTCAAATGGAATAATAAAATGCATGCTGATAGCAGAAGGACTGAAGAGTTTCACAGTGAAAAAAACAGATATGAAAACAAAATGTATATATCCATCCATTCATTCATTCATTCATTCATTTTCTTCCGCTTCATCCTTTGCCGGGTCGCCGGGGCAGCAGTCTATGAGCAGATAAGCATATATTTGAATGTTTGAATGACTGAAACCAACTCCAAATTCAGGCTTACACTTTCAAACATCCATTTAAAATTGTGTGGTCTTAAAGTTTATCGTTTTGGAACATTCTAAATCTGCATTACGTTTAACAGTGTCTCATTTTCAACTGCATTTCCCTCTTACAGCTGGGATACCCAACTTTATTTCATGAACAATGCAGAAAAATCAGAATCAGATCACAACTTGCAGTCTTTATCTTTTTATAAAACAAGAATGAAGTCCGTGGGAGCTTTAAAACAGAGAGCGGTTTTTTTTGAGGCAGGAACTAGATGTTATGAGAGTGTTCCATTCATTTGTGGTAAAGGTGCACATTATTGATCCCCGTAAGGCAATTCAATCCTCTGCATTTGACCCATCCTGATGCCACGAAGGCTTACGTCAGGAGCAGTGGTCGCCGTAGTAACAGCGCCCGGGAACCCATCTCCAGATGTTGGTTCTCGGCTTGGTCAGGACTACCGGAGCTGGAGGATTTAACCTAGTGTGCATGTTTTTAGCGGTAGGGGAAACCGGAGTACACGGAGGAAACCTACGCAGGCACAGGGAGAATATGCAAACTCCACTCAAAAAGACCCTGTTCCAACCGAGATTGGAACCCAGGACTTTCTTCCTGAGAAGCGAGAGTGCTATCCACTCAGCCACCGTGCCCAACTTTGGTTTCAGAGTCAGGTACCCCAGCTTTAAAGTACCAATTGACATTAGGCCATAGATAATTTGTACAACATGACAGTCACATTTTCTGCCAAATCCTTGAATCACAACATTTAGAAAAACTCGTCTCCGGGTCTGCTTATAGCTTCAAAACCCTCTATATATTATCTTTATGAGCATAAGACTACTTCTCCCTTTAATCCTCTCGTATCAGGGCTCACGTTGCTTCAGCCACTCTTTATTGTCTTCTGCGGTTACGCTCAATAAAACTCATTCGGGGGCTCGCGCTGCAGGTCACGACTCTTCCCCTTAATTTGCCGATAAGTCAAAACACTTTCCTATATTAGCCTCTGCGGGGACATGGTGTGGCCGGACTCTGCGCTTTTCACCAGATAAAACTTGAAAGACGCTGCATTCCTACATCAGCTGTGGCTTTTACTGCCTGCAATGAATACTTAGGTGCGTTTAAAAACACAAAATTATGTCTTAAATCATAGGGAAGTAAAGCACGGAGCATTGCGCAGAGATTGGGGGTCATAAACTGTCCAACATGTAAGAAGAACTTTTGCCTACAGTAAGAGTACACATGCTGAGGGGTATTACCTGTTGGCTCTAATAGTCCCCATCCTCTCTGTGCACATGGTTCTAGTTTAAGAGCATTTCTCCAACACTATATCGCCTGTATTACGTTTATTAAACACTTTTGAACAATCCCTGGGCACATGATTGTCCATATGTGAAGTGGTTTCATGTAACATTGACATCACAACAACCTGGAGGCCTGTAATGTTTGATAGGTTTGTATTGACTTACAAGACTTTACTGTCAAAAGATGGAGAGAGACTGGATTTGGTTGCGCAATAATAATAATAATACATCGGTTTTATGTATAGCGCATTTCAGGACACTCAAAGGTGCTTCATATGTCAGTATTCACTCACTCCATACACGGTGGTGAT